CTGCCACAGGCTGCCTGATAACTTGATGGACCTACAAGCCGGAACAGTAAATCGTCTGTTGTTCCTGATCTTCAGTAGAGACTCTCCTTGTCTTCCCAACGCATCCTAGGTACTTTGGCCTGAGTTTGACGTAGGAAGCCACAAGTTCGGATGCAGGAGCTGTTAACTTCAACTCCACATTTTGAAGCGTGCGATCGCCATCTTGCAGCTGTGTGAGCGGCGGCGATGGCAGTGGGCCAGTGGGTCAGAGTTCTCAAATAAATATAAAACTGTTAAAACTCCTGGTATACACGTAAATGTCAGCCAGTGCCTTTTCGAGGTGGACAGTGCTGAGAACTGACACAGGGGATCATCCACATTGCGGTGACATTGCAGCGTAACTGTCTACCTAATTTCTAAACGTACCCTTGATGACATGAATGATCAACACGTACCCTTGATGACATTTTAAATCATGAATGATCAACATACCGCAATCACCACCAAGTGCCTACTGCCTGGCTTCCAAGAAACGACCAATGTACATATTTCCCCTCAGAACGAAATCGAAATTTCTTCCGAAACGTTGGACAACCCTCAACATTCGACGCGCCTCATTCCTGAAACCATCATTGAACTCCTGCCGCGAAAACCCAAGGACACGAACATTGTCAAGATGGGTGTCTTACGAGTTCTAACGCCGTGTAGTCTAATAGTTTAACAAATTTTCAGAGGTCGTTGTTGTTTCCCTCATGGCGGTTCTGGAAAGATATATGCTGGCATCAGTCTGATGATGGAGGCACCAAGGGCCTCTGAAAGCTTGTATACCTTTACCAGACTACACGGTGTTACAACTGAGAAGACAGCCATCTTCGTAGTCACAGCCGTAAGAACCAAAAATCCTATAAATTTATTTGTTCACTCATTTCCTGACCGCCTGTTGGTGTGGTGTAACACAGAGAAACGTCACGTGAATTCCGCTTATGGGCATTTCCTCGACTGCGGACTAGAAATACGTCATTATTTTCCTGGCATATGTTCGCCTGCACCCCCATACACATCATGAACGAAGTGTAGCCTAACAATGTCCTGCAGTGTCGTGTTGTTTTCACATTACGAATGCGACAGGATTTCGCACTCAGAAAAAAAAACACTTTTGTTAAGAGGAATATTGTATCAGAATATACATTTTAAACAACTTGTTAATCAGAATCCTAACCTCGCATTCTATTTGGGATAAAGTAAATCAAAAATATTCTTACAGAATTAACAAGCGGTATGTACCAAACCCCGGAACTCAGAATGAAGGTAGGTGTTTCCATAAGAGGAGATTCAATTTTGGATTTGTAATTTAAGGAAAATTAGTATCAAATAAGAAACATTCCACGGAACAAAGTATTTATTGAGAAGATGACACTCGCTCGTCTTAAAGAAATTCCCTGTCTTTTATGGAGCACGGAGGATATTTACCGTGTTTCCCACTTTGTAGGATTGGAGGTTTCGACGGCGGTGAGTCTAAAAATGGCCATCTTCAGATCCCCACGTGAATCTGTCATCAGTGAGTTTAATTTATTACTAACCCTCACATTAATATTATCTGTGTATTTACACCTAAGATTATTGTAACCTTATTATTTTATTTCTGTGGTTAATTTAACGTCTCTTACGGCTTAGACTATGTAGCGCCGAGTTAGAATATGATTAATTAATTGAAATTGATATGGAACGCTAAATTCTTCTCTGGTTTTTGTCTTTGCATGTTTTTATATGTGTAGTATTATTTTCAGTTATTTTACTTTATCGATATTAGATTTCTCACGTATTTTAAATTTTGATCCCAATACTTTTATCTTTTATCTCTGATGATCCATACTTATTTTTCACTACATTTCCTAAAGGGCACAAAAGAACAAATGATGTTACTTTTCACGATCGTGTCCTAAGTGATAAAAAGAAAATAGTTCGATCTTCAAAGCCGGCTCAAAATGCTTACAAAAAATGGCAAGAAAAGTCTAATGAAAAAGAAGGCGACACGTATTTGACTTTAATGAAACGTTTATAATATCAATTATTATATTTATTTTAAGAAAATATTTAAAGAAAATATTTAAAGACATACTCGTTTCACAAGTTAAAAACCTATCTCTAGATAAACAATAAATCTAAATAATACGAATAGCAAAAAAAAAAAACTTTCAAAAATTTGTCGTTTCCAAAGTTACGTAGCTCATAACTTTGTCATTTCTTAGGTCTATTCATAACGTCATTTTAAGTTATAACGTTTAAGAGTTCCTTCTGTTCGCTCAGCTTTAATATACTTACGAACTCCATTGCCCGGTTCTAACGTCAAACAAGTTTTTTTATTTAATTGGTCTGAGCAACACTTACAACAGTTACACTTTTCAAAGACTGTCTTTGCCGCTTTCATGAGGGACTCATGTGGTATATCAATCATAAGAAGTAATGTATCCAAATAAGAGAATAAACCATTACGAAAATAATTTTATGAGTTTTTATGTTGTGCATGAACTATAATGAAAATACAGTATGTCAATAACCGTCTACAGAATCTCATTCCACATGAATTATGTTCTTCATGTTCAGACTTAGCCACGTCATCTTCAGGCATAAAGCCTTGGTTGTGAATAGTTTATGAAAAAAAAGGCGTGTACGTTTGTATATCTTTAAGTGAGCTAGCTGGGCGTTGTAATACTTATCTACAATCGGGACCAGATTACGTGCTAGCTCAACTCCCTAACCCATTCACTTGCTGGCACACGTGATTGCCACAACACAAGCCATCGTAAAATTCGAATATCCACCACTTTTAATAATTTATATATCAGATATTAGAAGGATAATTTATAGTTAACATTATTTTATGAGCAGGCTGGACCATGATGACGGAACTGAAGCTACTACTATGTATGCTCCATTTTATATTTTTATAAACGTGAATGTATACTTGAAGCAAAATATCTGCAAGCCTAAGATACGTCACAGTAAGAGGAGAAATGAATATTCAAATGGTTGGGAGAGCAACACACCTTATGTTCTATCCCTACCCGTGCCTCCCCTTACCACGATTGGTTGGCCAGCAACGTCTGAATTTGTAACAGTCAAAGAAAGTTAGGAGATGCCTTGCAACAAGTGTACAAACAAGATATGCGCATATACAGAAGAATTATATATTATTAATATGCGGCACTTTTAACCCCAGCGGGGAATGTGTGGAATTGGCCACAGGATTGAGGGGGGGGGAGGCTGCACACGATGTCTTTTGCTGGAATTTTTAGACCAAGAATTTTACCATTTCGAAAACTTGCTATAGTACGAAATAAAGACCGATGTTTTCAAGTTTGCGTGAATAACGGCTGGTGGGCGGGGCTGCATAACATAAAAAGTTTGAATTCATTGAAAATTCACCCCGTACGTAAATTAGGGAGCATGGTTTTCCTGGGTCTTTGTGAAAAAAAAATACACGAACCACGTTTATGCTGTTATGAAGTCCGTATAAACGAATATACATTTCCACGTACGTATAACAACGTTTAACGATTCGTTTTCACTTTGCTCCACGGTTAATCCGGATAACTGACAGTTTACACCGGTCTTGGTGTTTTGAGGCGGTGTAGGCATTTTATAAATCTTTCAAAAGCAAATGCTGTATTTAAAACGCTTTGGAAGAGGGAGCGGGCGTCAGTTAGGAATCCTGACGTACGTGCTATGTAGGTTCCAAAACAAATGACGACTTCCGTGTACGACTTATTCCCACACCTGGAATATATAATAAACTTTCGATTTACAATCACAATTACAACTCAGACTTCGAATTTCCGTGTTGTACAGACCCTTAGGACAGATATAGCAAACACCTCTGAAACGTCGGTAAACTTCTGCAGTCCCAGATGACCGAAATCTTCAGTATTTATTTACACTATGTCAGACTTTTGCCATGTTTCCGGCACGCATCAACAAAAGAATGAGTGAATCCACTTTAAGTATGAATGGGGCAATAAATATCAGAGTGTAAGTTACCGCGATGGGTCATAGAAACCTCCACGTAAACCACATAACCTCCAGAGAACACTTACAGCGCAGCTCCTTACATTAAACGCTCGCTTTCTCAGACCTACAGGTACAGAACTATTTTTATAAGTCGGCCCACTACGTTGCTCGTTTGGTAATAGGATCCTTTAATTTTCGCTGACAAACTGTATTTACTCTTCCCAAGTGTTTACATTCGTTACAATGAGATTTAGGTCGTTTTCACACGTATTATTGACGTGCAACGTTTTTAAAAACACATAATGTGCCCGTGTTTGAAACACTTTTCCATTAATAATACGTATAAACGTGTATCCGTATGCACAAAAATTACTAATATAAAGTGTCTTGTTTTCACTCACCACCAGTAAAGAAAGAACGAGAGGAAAGGAATTGACGTCGCCAGAGCGAGCTGTCTCCAGTCGCGGACGAGAAATACAACACCAGAGAGCACCACCAGTCCAACTGAGTACGCTATGTTGGTAAGAACAGTGCATGTTGTTCTTCGGGAAGGTCCCACAAGCTCGATTGCTAAAACACAAGACAGTCGGGTCATTAAAAGAACTGTATCACAAAGCATAGAATGTCAATGATTTTAAAGATGGGTGCGTTTGACTGTGTTCTACTTTAAGACAATACGGCACACGAGTTTGGATATTACCTGTCTGAACAGGAAATATTTGTAACAATTGAGGTTAGGTTCTTCCGGGTTGTAGCGCCACGTCGCCCTAATGATGGAGGCAGAAAATACCTCTGAAACGTTGGAGAATTACTGTACTACACGGTGCCACAACTCAGAAGACTGCCATCTTCACGGAATGTTTGTTTTTATCTGTACTTTCGCGCTTGGAGGAACAGTGAAGACAATATGTCTTAACGTTGGAGCGCCATTTGTTGTAAATGGCCTTCCTACCCATCTATGTCTTGCACTTTTTTTTTTCCAGAATGCTGATTGTCGTTTTTACGTTGCGCAGTTCAAAATGGTGGGCTGGGGAGATATTAAATTCTGTCCCTAAGCGTCACGGGCAAGTCTCTGACCGTACACGTGGCGTTGATGTAATTAACAAATATGGTGTTAAAAACTGTAGATATTTCGATGTAAAACGTTCATATTAAAGTCCTTTGTCAACAGTGTGGCAACATTCTTTTATTAAACTCATCAACAATTCCATCGCCTCCAGAGACTCGCCCCTGACGCCCAGGAAAATAGTTCCATTCCTACCCAACCCATGATTCTAAGCTAGACAACAAAAGTACAGTTTGCATTAAACATAAACCCCAAGCCCATGATTATTTAAAGAAATGACCTGCAACGTGTTGTAAAATATATAGAAGGGTCAGTTGTAGCAAAATGGCGTTGCAATGTTAAGGCTAGATGAAAAATAAAAGTTACGGGTTCAAACTGTATGTAAACTTGTAGGATTTGGGGTTTCCGCGTCGGTGAGTCTGAAGATGGCTGTTTCTTGGGTTGTTGCGCCGTGTAGTCTGGTACAAGTTTACCGACGTTTCAGAGGTCATACTGCCTCTATCATCAGTGGTCAACAACTTACAAGAAAGTCGTTTACACAACATTAGTATGTGACCCTGCCACATTTATCTGTGCGAATTGGAAGACTTGAACCAGCAACATCCAGAAATATGAAGCACTGGTTCTGGGAGTTTTGAACTTTCGAATGAGGCTGTGAAAATGATGATCCTGAATGACAAATTGAATCTAGACATAGATGGGAGTATAATATTAGAACGTGCCAGGTTTTTGACTAGAATATTATAGCTCGAATTAGGGCCAAATTACTTTATTTTTTTACAAATATGATAATGGACGTTGAACTTCTATGAAAGACCGATAATATATTTACCAGCTGATATTTATCAGTTTCTCAAGCTGTGATCTGTGCCATATTGTCTGTTAGTAACAAGATTGGAAAGGTGCAATCCATACCTTTGTACAAAGGTTTCTATTTGCGTTCTGTGCGCATTTGCATTCTAAATGTTCCTAGCTGAAATATAAACTATATTAAATTATACATATCATAAGTGGTACCATAAGCAGTGTCCATGTGAATGTCCCAACAGACTACAAACGACATAGAAAAGTAAGCTTGCGTTAACAGCGTCAAATCCTACCAAGTTATCTTCTTATTTACAAAAGGTGTGAATTAGAATTCAGTAATTTGGAATGTACGCGGTATATTTATTGTTATGTTGGAACATAAACTTTATATATATTGATAATCCCACGGGTTGAAATTTGTTTACTTTTTTACGTGTTCCTCTCCATACAAACACCAATTGCCGGCACGCGGACCATTTCAAGCAAAACATTCAGCGTGTAGCAATACTCAAGTCGTCTTACACAGCAAATATTTTGTTACAAGGGGTAATGATCACTGATTTAGTATTGGATTGTTTAATGACACCCTTTCAACTACATAGGTTATAAAGCGTCGAAATATAAAATTATTATATGTAATGAACTGTAAAATTTGTGTACGGCAGGAAGCCATCATGGTTGTTTTGAAGCATTACTGTAGAACACCACGAAAAATTTCGGTCAGACAAATGATACCTTGGTCAAGATTCGAATCCGGAACTTCCTAATACGAAAAAGCGTTTAGTAGGATAATACTGTACATAAAATTTATTTCCAAGTACGTTGGTTTTCGTAGATAAGAAATATAATTTTGTACTAAGAAAACGCTTTGCTAATTTTATCACCAGGGGTGTATGTGCAGATCTATAACTTTGCTTTTTCCGGCCACCGTCTGTCTGCTCAATAATTTTCAGACGGATAACAAGTAATGTGGGATAAACAAGCAAGAGAAAGGGCGGGTGTATTTTAGAGCTGAAATTTTAAATTGTTTTTGTTTGGTTATTTTGTTTTAGGGAACGACCTGCAATGTAAACAATTTACTGAACTGTATAAAAGGAAGTTATTACGTCTACTAATGGTCGTTACTGGTAAGATCAATGTTAAAATGAATAATGAGCACGAAATAGATTACCGTAAGACAAACAACGGTTTTAACTTTGTTTTAAAATCACGAATGCGTTCATAAACTATGCGTAGGATTAATTTATTTATTTACATTAGGTTTCAGAAATAAAAGTTACGAATTATCAAAACAGGAAATTAATAGTTGTTGTTATTATTATTATTATTCATTTGACTGCAAATGGGTTTTTATCCGGTGGCAGTGGTCCTACAATAAGACACAAAAAACATAAGACAACAAAAACAATAAGAAACAACAGAAAAATGAGACACAACAAAACAACACACCACTTTCCTTTTCCTCACTAAATTTACAGGTGTCACAAACAGATGTGCACATATAAAACGGAATATTAACCTTGAAGATTTCTGTCTTCTGTATTCATCGCCCTGATGACGGAGGCAGTATGACCTCTGAAACGTTGGTTAACATCGACCAGACTACACAGCGCAACAACCCAGAAGACAGAAATCTTCATACTCATCGCCCTGATGACGGAGGCAGTATGACCTCTGAAACGTTGGTTAACATCGACCAGACTACACAGCGCAATAACCCAGAAGACAGAAATCTTCATACTCACCGCTGTGAGAACCTCAAGTCTTACAATATTAACCTTGTTATTGATTTTCGCGTCCCACGAAGCTAACGGTGATTATTTTGAACACCTACACTCGATTCGATAATTCACTACGTGCCAATGATGACGTATAAGATTCCGTACATAATAGTGAGCATTAATTCACAAAATACGAAGATCCGAAACCTGACAAACTGATGTTTGCATGAACATGTACAAATTCCCGTGTTTAAATCTCCGCATGAAAAATGACTACTCCGATTGGCTCAGTCCCGCAAGAATAATATTTTAAATCAGGCCACGACCGTTTCATTACACATATTTTCCACTTCATTGTTAACTAATTATCCTGTCATTAGAATTTACATAGTAAGATACACTAAGATAAAAAACAAACATAATAGAATAAAGATGTGAATATAATTTTTAGAACATTTTTAGTGTAAGTGTACCTGTTAACTGTTGAATATTGATGTGAAATATAGACTCGTTATTTATGGCTGTAAATGGGTTACTATTACCCATTTTTCAGACCACGAGCCATATTGTAATTATAAACACGTGCTAGTTTATGTAAAACATTTGTTCAATAATATGTCTAGATAAAACAATAATCATTTTATTGGACATCACACGTGTTATTAAGTAGACCAGTTGTGCATACGAAATGGTTACAAAATCTGTTTACTGGTTCGTAACAATACAATATATTCAGCAATTTCAACAGATCACATAATTAGTCAATATTTTTTCATTGAAGTGCCAATCACATGACATGTCTGAAGAAGCTTAAAACGTAGTTCCTTCCGCTTCTGCGTCAGAACGGGCTATAATCAACATGTATCCTCCGGCAAGACAGTACACTGGTACATTGCGGACTCCTTCCCACAGATCAAGAATATCGCAATAACATAATCAGTGGACGATTGCTATACCATGTCCTCCACAAAGCCCACACTTGGCGACATGCCACGATTTCCTCAGGAGCATTTTAAACATCTCTCAACTGTGGCTACAAATCTTCAACGTCTAAAAACATCTATTAGAGACTGAAGATTTCTGTCTTCTGGGTTGTTGCCCCGTGTAGCATGGTAAATGTTTACCAACGTTTCAGAAGTCATACTGCCTCCGTCATCAGAGTATGAAGATTTCTGTCTTCTGGGGTGTTGCGCCGTGTAGTCTGGTCGATGTTAACCACGTTTCAGAGGTCATACTGCCTCCATCATCAGGGCGATGAAGATTTCTGTCTTCTGGGGTGTTGCGCCGTGTAGTCTGGTCGATGTTAACCACGTTTCAGAGGTCATACTGCCTCCATCATCAGGGCGATGAAATGCTACTCAACATAAAACCTTCGACATTGCAGTGCGGGCCACACATAAGTCCGATGGCAATGCCAAAGTCACATAACATAAAATAAGATACTCAGCCTTCAACGTAGACTAAATTGCCAGAAAGAACATTGAAACGGTTCAAGCAAGCGAGGGAATACAAGGTAACATACAGATATCCTGTAATAGAAATGCGAAGAGACTTTGTGGCCATTCTGTAGAATTTAGTCTATTTATAAGCTTATTTACTACCGTATGCAATAAAATTCTTTGCACAAAGGAAATAAACGGTTCATTTGATTATTTACCCTGCATACTAAGCTCAATAAATTTCAACACATATAAATAACGTCAGTAAGCTTCAACCAGATTACACGACACTACAACCCAGACGAAAGCCACCTTCAGACTCACCGCCGTGAAAACCTCAAATCCTAAAAGCGTTTTAATCTCATCCTTCCACTTTCCGACATTGCGCGATCGTTATCCAGCAAAAGAAAGATTTCCTGAAGTTCCTAATTTGCATTTTGTTCTCTGTTTTACTTATGATCGTAAACGAGGTAAATGAATCTTGTGATTGCATTAATGGTGTTGAGCGACAATTAACTTCCCATGAAGGCCCTTGCT